ACATCACGCTTTTCAAGGTGTAGAGGAGATAGACCCAGATTTACCCTCAGAATGGGAGAAAAAGTTTGGTTGTAGCACTGTATTTAAATTATTATGGCTATTTTTCTATCCTATTATATACCCCATTCGTAATATTTCAATGTTTAAAGAATTAGAGCTATGGGAATATATAAATTTCTGTTTTACCCTTTTAACTGATATTATCATATACCATTATTGTGGTTATAGAGGATTTTTATATCTACTTATGTCATTATGGTTTGGTTTTAGCCTTCATCCGGTAGCAGCTCGTTATATCCAAGAGCATTATACGTTTGATGATGGTCAAGAAACCTATTCCTATTATGGAAGACTTAATAAAATATTTATGAATATTGGTTATCATAATGAACACCACGATTTTACAAATGTAGGTTCAAAATTTATTAATTCTTTCATATTTCTATTAATGAATTTCTTTATTTTATATTTAGGTACCGTGGACAAGGCTCCCCGAAATTCATAAAATTGCAGCTGAATATTATGAGAATCTTGCTTATCACACGTCATGGCTTATGGTCCACTGGAATTTTGTTATGCAAAGGCAGTTCGGGCTACAAAGTCGTGTAAAGAGAAGTTTTAAAGCACATAAAAGAGGTCGAAAAATGTTGAAAAATTTGAAAAAGGCACTAATATAGAAGAGGTTTTGTAATATGCTTTATTTTATTGGTATTTATATATTCATACATGCAAATTTTAATACACTGGCCGGAATATTTACGCAAAAATACCAAGTACCAGTGATAGATTAAAATCTGCTTAGACGTTATATCTCCGCTGTGTTATATATCGGAATAAACCTTTTTTCTTTATGTATTTTATAATTTATATTTATGTCTTGTCCTGTCCAAACCAAATTGGAGTGGGTTGAGGAATAACCCACTCCAACCCACTAACAAACCTACAGGTAGCAATATACCGTAAAAGTCGGACACGTGTACCCCGGGTATTTTCATTTCTCAAATCTGTACCCGGGTCTATACAGTCATACTTGAGTTTTCCCTATGCTTTAAGATTAAGGACAGGA